TGGGGCTAAGTTGTATTATATACAGTTTTAGAATAGAAATATCCAGGTGATAACATTGATGTCAGTGAGCAACAAGCACAATGGGAGCATATTCTGCAAATAAAAAATTCTTCAGTATCAGGAAAAACAACAAATGGATGAATCAATTGTACAGATGGTATGTTCTTTCAGAAACCACAAACTCAACCCTGGCTGCTCAATTCCATTATTGCAACGGGCTGCTGGGATTTCATATAAATAAACAAGGGGGGTTGATAGGATGGGAGAGAACATGTTTCAAAATAGAAAAACTGGCTGTCCTGAATCACTTGGGTCAACACAGCAGTTTCTGTCCTTTTTTCCCACAGCTTGCAAAGCAATTTCCTATTTGTAACTCACCAGCATATAATAGAAGTGTTTGGAATTGATCTAAATGATCGTTTGGGGATCCTTCACAAGTTAATATAATTGTAAGACATTCAAGATTAGAATTGTGCAATTCCTTCCTAAAATGTGCTTTATTCTTCCCAAAGTAATTCGGTCCAAATCCTGAACAAACAGTTTTTAAATGGAAAACAAAACTAAAAAAAACTGTGTCCTACTTATAAAATGATGGAGGAGGGAATACTTTATCTTTAGAAAGCATAATTCTTTTCTTTTGTATTGTTTGTGAGAATTCATTTTTTCCTCTGACTTTTCTTTAAAATATTTTTTTAATCCTTTAGCTCCCAGAAAGCACGGTTCAGATTGTTAATCTTAAGAGGAAATGTCCAAATCCTGCCAAGGCTATCCTGATGAGATTAGTTACTGGAGTTAAAATATTCTTTTTAAAAAAAAATTTTTTTTTATCATTTACATATAAGTATATTGAATACAGTGTGACCATCCAGCGTTTCATCCGCCATGAATACCAAAGTGAAAGACAAATAACACATATGTTACTTACACAGGGCTAGTCTTGTACAATTATTTTTGACCAACGTATTCATTCTAATACACATATAATATCTCATTCCGGGTCTACTTAGCCTTATTTTTTCGTGTTCCGACTCCCACCTCGTGCTTCCAACTATTGATAAAATCTGTTCCATGTGTCATAATGTTCTGACTCTCCTTTATTTTTTAATTCTAACGTTAATGTATCCATCTCTGCGCATACCAATATCTTCCTTATTACCTCTTTTTCTGAAGGGGTGTTTTCACATTTCCATTGCTGTGCATATACCATTATCGCTGCCGTCAGGAGGTGTAGTATTAGGTATATTGACCCTTTGATATAGCCATCTGTTATAATGCCTAATAGAAATAATTCTGGCTTAAATTCTCTACATTGTCCAACCATTTTTTCTAGCCACCTCTGAATTTTTAACCAAAATTTCCTTGCTTTTTTACATGTCCACCACATGTGGTAGTATATACTTGGTGATTGCTTACATTTCCAACATTATGGGGATGTATTACTAAACATTTTAGCCAACCTTGCCGGGGGACATGCCACCTGTAAAATTTTTATAAAGATTCTCTTTATATGAAGTGGCCAATGTCAATTTCCTATTTCTTTCCCAAAGTTTTTGCCAATTACTCAAATCAAAATAATATCCAAAGTTTTTTGCCCATGCAACCATTGTCTCCTTAACTTGTTCTTCCTCCATTTTGTAGTGTAGTAAATATTTATATATTGTCTTTATCAATTTGTCATTGGTTTATCTAATGTCATTAATTCTCTATACTTTCACATCCTTCACATAACATGATGGTATTTGCAGGTATGACCACTATTCCAAATCCACCCCTTATTCTTTTAATTGTAGTCTGGTTTTCAGTTTGCCCTTCTCATTTAATATATCCTTATATGAAACAATTTTTTCCATGTTTATAAAGTTTGGGTGTATTAATGCTTCTAAGGTGGAAAACCAGACTGGTATTTTCATATAATTTTGTTGTCTGATTTTATTCCACAGTGCTAATAATTCATTTCTTATGTAATGCCTTTGAAAGTATTGATGTGCCGTGCTTCTCCCGTATCAAAGAAATGCATGCCACTCTAGTTGGATATCGTGACCCTCCAATAATAATGATCTCCTATTCCTTAAGGTTATCCACTCTTTTACCCATGTAAGTACAGCAGTGATATAATTCCCAGTCAGGCAGGCCAAACCCTCCTTTCCCTTTTGATTCTTGCAATAATTTCAATATAATTCTCAGATTTTTTTCCTTGCCATATAAACTTTAACATTGTTTTAATTAAGTTCTCAAAATATTTTTTCTCTAATTTTATGGGTATGTTTTGAAATAAAAAGAGTATCTTTTGTGGAATTAACATATTCTTGAAGACAGCTTTGTACCAGATTTGTCTTAGGTAAACTCTTTGATTTTGCTCCTTCTTGCTCTGTGGCTCAACAGTGAATAAACCAGGACGTTGCCTAAATTTCTGGGAATATTTAAAAATATTTTTCTTGCTGCAGACAAGAATGGTATTTGAGGTAGTTATGGGGAGGAGTGAACTCACTCTTGAAATATTTAGGCCAACCAGGTGAAAAAGAGTGGGCAACTCTACGGTATTTAAAAGTGAGTAATTTGTTCAGGATAGAGAACATATTGGGGAAAAAAATCCTTCCTATTAAAGGTAAGTTTGTATTTCTTTTAGAAAGGGAATTGGGAGATAAGAACAGAAGGCTACTCTAATGTCATAGAATATCTACAGTCCCATATGTTTATCTGAGAATCCGTCCCCTAGAACGCCAAGGGGCTTCTGATTGCATTGCCAAGTTACAGATTGTTTACTTGCTTGTTGATTTGACTTTTCTCCATAGAAGATTAATTTAACTAAATAAATGGATGAAATGCTGTAATTGCCAAATAAAAACTCAGTAGAATTGTTCCCTTAGGAATTGAAATATCTGTCATGGTTTATTTGGACTTTGCTACAGATTCATATTGATCCTGACTCCTGACTAGAGAAATCATTTAAATTTTTTTTTTGTAGGAATCTAGTGGTTAAACATTTTGTTATATTACCATATTGGTAGCCTACCTAAGAGCAATGTTTTCTGGCTGGTTTATAGCAACAGAATATTAAAATGCAATAATATCTTGAAAAAGACAGCTAAAAACATTAAAATTTCAACTGCAGCATCTTTAAAAGAACCCAGCATAGCTACAATGGTGAACTAAAAGTTCAGAGAAGTCAACATGCAAGACTTTTCACAGTTTTCATCAGATACTAGAAGCAATATTGTGTCAAGCAAACATTAATGGCTCTAAATTCCATCACTGGGTCAATAATAGTCAACATTCTTCCCAGTTGCAATTGCCTACATCTTATTAAGTTGAAGAATGAGAGATGAACCTGCAAGAATTTATATGACAATGATATGATCATTCAAGAAGCTCGGATAAATAAGTAAATAAATAAGTAAATGATTCCTCACCGATTTATAATTGATTTATTTAAGAAAGCCTTATCTCTGAGATCTTTTTCTCATCAAATAACTGGATCAAATTCATTCGTGAGTTTATAAATATTTTAGTAATTTTTCACTATATATTGCATTTAATTAACATTTCCCTTAATTGTAGACTCTGGCAGGGATGATGGAGAGGGTTATGGGTTTAATTGGGCAAAGGCAAAAAGTTTGCTTTCCAGAGGTTTCCTACTCCCTTACACCCCTTATAATGCCCCAAAGGTTGGGGGGGGAGAACCCTTAAAACCTAGCGCTGCCTCCTGGAGATTACAACAATTGGATATCCTCCTGTTCTCCAGTTGATAACTGAAGTGAGTTCCAGTCCCTGGGGCTATAACCAATTGCCCAGCCTGACTTCTGACAGGAGTGTGTAAGAAAGGCACGTGCAGGGGTGAAATGCTCCCAGTTCGGACCGGATTAATGTAGGTAGGTAAATGCAGATCCAGCTGGATGATCACTGAAGGGCCCTCTTTATTCATAGTATTGTAGGAAAGAAAATGTGCTTGCAAATTAACCAGTTGAGACAGTACAGAGGCAGAACAAAAGTTCCTTTGAAGTAGAAACATTTACAGAAGGGCCCTCAGTTTTCAGAGATAAGAAACATTTGATGATATACAGTATGAAGGTTAAAGAGATCAAGTATGACCACATGTAATATTAACAAGAGATAATTTGAATCTATGCTTCAGTAATCTACAAAAGGAATTATGACTGTTGGCAAAGAATAAAATGAAACGGTAATTGGGAAGTGTCAATTAAAAATGACAAATGTATATGACCATATGAATTGCTGAGTTAACAGAATCCTTTGTCTAGAAGGGTATAAAAACCATTGTACCTAATTTCTGTCTTTGTTCAACGTTTCATGTACAGAGCTTTGAACCTATTGCGCAATATACATTGTCTCTGATTAACCCCGAAAAGTTTTGTTGGTCTTATTAAATCCACAACAGGATCGCCTGATCCAGTAGCAATGGTGGGTGGTGGTTCGGAGAACCGGTAGCAAAAATCCCTGTGCTCCCCCCCCATGCCCAGCTGAGCTGCGCGATCAGTAAAAAAAGTTTTAAAAAATGCTTTTAGAAGCTCTGATGATCCCAGCTGAGTTGCCTGATCGTCAGAGGCTTTTAAAAGCATTTTTTAAACAATCTTTTTAAGCCGAAGAGTTTGTAGAAAAAATGCTTTTAAAAATAAAAAAAATTAAAAAGTTGGCCACTGCCACCCAGTCACATTACTCCCCACCAAGCCACGCCCACAGAACTGGTAGTAATTATTTTTCATTTTACCACTGGGCATGTGGTGAGGAAGTCCCTGCAAGAATAGATATTTAGTGTTACCAGATGTGAATGTGGGTTGTAGCACTGAATTTTTTTTATTTAATCATTTATACATACAAACATACATATTACTTTCTAATATATGTAGATATGCACTGATGTCTTTCTCTCTGAATGTTGGGTAAAGTAAGTAGGCCTGGGGAAGAAAGAAAGATATAGGAATAAGGGGGCTCTAAAAGTACCATGTCAGAGTGAATGATTACATTTTTTTCTCCGCAGGAAATTCTGCATCCCTAAGATGAAGAAACTCTTCATATTCCTACTGTTTACTGTGTTGCTTTCTGAAAAGTATGCAAATACTCAGGTGTATGCAGTTGACAATGTGATTAAAGACTAAGGAAATAATCCCTTCTGAAGGTATTTTTTATTGTTTTATTGTTTTAAATTTATATCCCTCCTTTATTATTTTTTTAAATAACTCAAGGTGGTTAATATACCTAATACTCTTTCCTTCTCCTATTTTCCCCACAACAACAACACTGTGGTTTGGGTTGACTGAGAGAGTGACTGGTCCACAGTCACCCATCTGGCTTCCATATTTAGGCAGGATTGAAACTCTCTGTTTCCTGGTTTCTACCTTTATCAAATTGTTGTACTCCTCATCACATTTGCATGCCTTTGGTGCTTTTCCTCTTCTCCTATCATCAGATGCTTTCTGGAGGCAAAATAGAGTGTTTTGCTGTGCACGGGACAGGCAGCCTGCAACAGTCTGTTCTCTGTTGGCACCAGGGTGGTTCCAATTCGTTTTCCTAATTTTTTGAGGGACCAGCCTCTTCCATCTGGAAGTTGTGCAGCCAATTTTTGTGGTCACTTTTAAAAACTTTTATAAATGGGTTGATAACCAGATCAGTGGTTGAAACTGACTAGCCTGTCTCTTATTAACAGTTCTAGTTGGAAGGAATCATCTTTTGTACACTTGAACCTGCTTGGCAGGGAATTCCCTTCCTAAGGAAGTCTTAAGCCTTGGTTCATGTTGTCCTTTCCTTAATCTTTTTATTTATTTATTTCAGAAAAAAAGCACAATATTTTTTTACATTTGTAAAGAAATTGTAACATGTACCTTTGTAATGGGGTTCAATTTAAACAATTAGGCATCATAGAACAGCAAAGTCATTAAACAAATCATCATAATAAAGGAAATAATAAAATGGTTCTGTTCAAAAGTTTGCATATCTTTGACTGTTCGGGCTCATACAGCTCCTACACTTAAACTTCCCCCAATTCTAGCTTTTCAAGAACATTTATCCAGCAGCTGCACAGATCTCTTGGCTTCCATCTAGTGGTCAAGAGGTAGAAAAACTACCTGGTCTTTTCATGATATATATATTTAAAATTCTATTGACCATATGACAAGAGAGAAAGGGGATGGGGGGAAGACAGGGAAAAAAAAATTCACTCCATAGAGGAACCAGAATGTCATGCAGGTCAACCAGAGAAGACCTTTATGTTGGATAGGGCAAAGAAAGAAGTGACTTCTGACTTTTTTCATTGCTCTAGAGCAATGGTTCTCAACCTTTCCTTCACCACAGGCCCCTCTTTAAATATCTTTTGTGGCCATGGACCATGTCCATGGACCTACAAGACTTAAGATTTAAATCATAACATTTCTTCAAGCCTTCGCAGACACCTTGTGATGGCATCATTACCCCCCAGGCAGTGGTGGGTTCTTCCCGTTCAGCCCGGTTTTCCCGAGCCGGTAGCAGTGACTATATGACATCACCGAACCGGTTCTGCCCCCCCGCCCCCTCACCCCCTGTGCCCCCGCACCCCCTGCATTATTCTTCCCTCCACCCCCAATCTATTGCTGCTTCCCGAGTCCCAGCTGATGACTAGAGAGAAAAAAAACTGTTTAAACTATTGCCCTGCGGCTTCAAAGGGCTGCCCTACAGCTGACCAGTGTTAAAAGAAAACAAATGGGTAGACCAGTGCCTGCAAAAAACAAATGAGTACACTGGTACAGTTCTACAAGCAGTTAAAAGCCTGGTAGACCAGTATCTCTGCTAAATCCTAAATAATTGTCACAGACCATCAAGCCATGCCCACAAAATAAGCCACGCCCACAGAACCGGTAGTAAAAAATTTTAGAACCCACCCCTGCCCCCAGGGGTCCACAGACCATAGGTTGAGAACTACTGCACTAGAGTACACGAAAAGTTAGAAGCTCAACCTTTTGCTTTACATTTTAGTTAATTCAAACCATTTCTATAACAGCAAAGTCAATCTGATCATCAAAACCTAAAATCAAAGCTTCATTTTTTTTCTGTTTCGAGCATAAAGCAGCAATTTTGAGCGTCCAGAAGCAATTTTCAAGTAGGAAAAAAACTATATAAATTATTTTTAATTAAAACAGTCGGTTTTGCCATCTTCACCATCATCTTTACATCTATTCTTTCATTGTGGGAATTGATGTGTGTTTCCATCTTCGTGGATATAAAATTCTTAGCACTGTCAGCATACAGAGTAAGGGTTCTGAATTTTATTTCAAGTTCTTTATCACATTGAAAAGGAAAAGTTCTGGTTTTAGCTTTATATTTATTTTAAGAATCTTCTGAATTAAAATTAAGTTCTTGTCCAATTACTTTTTTGCTTTGACACAACTCCACCAGAGATAATAAAAAGTATCCATATTACATTTACATTCTCAGCATACATAAAATTCCTTTATATATCTTTGATGGTTTCCTGGCATTAAGTACCAACAATACATTATTTTATAAAAGTTTTCTTTCAGATTGTAGCTCAATATTAAAGTCAATTCATTTATCCACATATTTTCCCACTGATTCTTACCAAAGTTCTTTGTCCATTAAATCATAGAGTCTTTAACATAGTGATTTTCCAAGTTCAATTTCAACAATTTATAAATCTTAGTAATAATATGTTTATCATTTGCACCAGGGGTGGGTTCTACTTACCTTTACTACCGGTTCGCAACGGGGCCTCACGCGCGCGCTCTTCTGCGCAAACGCAGAAGCGTTTTGATGATGTTAGGGTCAGTGGGCAGAGCCTCCCACCGGTTTTACTACTGGTTCTATAGAACCGGTGTGAACTGGGGGCAACCCAGCACTGATTAGCACACAATGCAATTTCAAACTCACTTTTTGCAAACTCTAGGTATGGATTTTCTTATCTAAGTTAAAGCTTTCTTTTAGTTGCAAATAGGTGAACTAGTAACAAATATGCCTTCTAACAAACTTCAATTTATCTTCAACTTCAAATTAGGTTAACCTTGAATAAAACATATTATTTCACCATAAGTTCACCAAATTGGTCTTACTATTATTTCTTTTCTAAGAAAGGCTTCTTGAGGTGAACAACCAAAGAGATATCTTAGGAAGAAGCCTTATTTTACATTTATTCCAAATTTTTAGGATGGCACATGTAAAAAATGATTCTTGAATGCTTCATTGACCTTACTTTTTTTTTTTTTTAATTTGATTTATATGCCGCCCTTCTCCGGAGACTCAGGGCGGCTTACAATGCATTAAGCAATAGCCTTCATACTTTTGTATATTTATACAAAGTCAGCTTATTGCCCCCACAAACTGGGTCCTCAATTTACCTACCTTAGAAAGAATGGAAGGCTGAGTCAACCTTGAGCCTGGGGAGATTCGAACTTGCAGTAATTGCAGGCAGCTGAATGTTAATAACAGGCTATTAGTCTGCTGCGCCACCAGGCTCTTTTACCACAAAGGCCTACCCTCCAAAACTCAATTTATGGCCCTCCAGATCTAATAATAATTTTAATTAATAGTTTTTAGGATCATCCTTCCATAATATGTCTTTTAGACATAGTGCATCCATAGAGACAGATTCTCTGTTGATACTTGAAATTAAGTGGTTCAAAAATACCCTTCAATATGTTCAATATTTTGCTTCATTCTGTAATTTTAAGTCAATATTATATGTTCTTCTCCTTTAATTGTAATCTTTAGTTCCTTCTAGTTCCCACTAATGTCCAATTTTTTAAATCTTACCTTTTTAAAAATAAAGCAAACAAAAAGCATTTTGAAGAATTCTTTATAATTAATTTCAATTTTTTATTTCAAACTTAGCTGGATCTCTAGTCTATAACTTTCTAAAACCAAAGTTTTAATCACTATTTTGCTATTAATCAAAAAATAAATTATTTAAGTTGTTAAACTCATTAAAACGTTCTTTTATAACTAAAAAAATAATAACAAAACGTTTCTGGGACTGATTAGAAAAAAAAAAGTGAAGTTAGTCTTTTCAAAGGTGTCACCACAGTTTGAGCAAGAGAGATAAACTTGCCAGAGACTGCTGTTGTGTGATCTTTTCATTAGAAACAGCTATCTGGAATACTTGTGGGCAATCTCAAGTTCTCTCCTTGTCTGGAGAGGAATTATTGAAGAGTCAATCTACAGGTAGTTTTCAATTTACATCAGTTCATTTAATGACCATTCAAAGTTATGCCTGGGAGGACTTTGGTTCCCTCACAGAGTATGGGCACCTCCTTTCCAGGAAACACAGCTGTCAGTTTTCGGACCAAAAGGGGGCCTGGGCAGACCTGATTTTCCTAAGCAGTCGAGAACGGGCACCTCCTGACATAGGGCTTTGCTCAATGTCTTCCCAGCTGGTTATCCTCTCTCATTCACTTTTCCATTCCATTTTCATATACTCTCTCCTTTCCCTAACAGAAGGTCCTGTGCTCTGGCTTGACCCCTATACATTCCAGGCTCTCTTGGTAGAACACACAGAGGAAGCAAGATCCAACTGTGATTGGAAGAAGGGCCATTCGTCAGGTTAGCTTGGAGTCCCATCTTTGGGTGCCAAATTGTTGGAAAAAATGTCCATCTGGGTTCAGTTCCAAGTGGGGAGAAAGACATTGGATACACGGAGGCTGTTTGGAAAGATGGTTTAATGGTGGGCTATTAACAAAGGTGGGGGATGCTTTCCAAGAGCATGTTTCTCCTTTTCTCACCCAGGGAGGTATAATATTCTGCCTTTTTAATATTTCCTGAATATTTCATTCTTCTAGGAGAAGGGTGGGTGCTAACTTTCTACAGGAAAAAGCCAGAATAATAAATGATTGCATGTAAATAAATTGACAAAGGGGGGAAAAATCAGAGGGAAGATCATATTTTTTCCAGGTGCCCTTCCCATATGTGAAGAGGGGAGATCAAAGTTTCCAGTGATGTGAGTGGCTGTTACTCACAAAGTAATTCAGGCATAAAAGTATTTAAATAGCTAGAAATCCAAGTTTTCATCTGGAATAAGAAATCCATATGCTTGAAATGATGAACACAGAGTGATAAGTGAAGTGCAGAAAGTTAGCACCCACCCTTCTAGAAGAATGAAATATTCTAGGAAATATTAAAAAGGCAGAATATTATACC